GGTTATCCCATTCCCCCACACACCTTCCCTCCAGCAACCCTCAGTTTGTTCCCTCCAGTTAAGAGTCCCTTTTGGCTTGCCTTGCTCTGTTTTTTTCTTATTTTTTCTTCCCTTCCCCTATGTTCATCTGTTTTATTTAAATTCCACATATGAGTGAATCATACGGTATTTGTCTTTCTCTGGCTTATTTTGCTTAGCATGGTACCCTCTAGTTGCAGCCATGTTGTTGCAAATGCAAGATTTCATTCTCTTTGATAGCTGAGTAATAATCCATTGTATATATATAATACCACATCTTTATCCATTCATTTGTCAATGGGCATCTGGGCTCTTTCCATATTTTGGCTACTGTGGACATGGTTTGGCTGCTATAAGAAAGGGGACCATTTTCTGATCTGATATACTCAGTGTCTTGAGGAGGTGCCCAGCATATTGTAGGAGCTCAATATTTATTGAATAGAGAATATTTGTATTAATTAAAGATGTTTATATTTTAGCCAAAACATTACTTGCTGTTAACTAAAAATCTATTCTGTACCCAAAACTACATATACTAGTTTGTTTTTTTGGTTTTTTTTCCCCTCATTCTTACAGGTAAGCAATAAACTTCTATTACTTCTGGCTCAACAAACATATTTTTAAAAAGATATGTTTGTTTATTTCAGAGAGAGAAAGAGAGGGAAGGGGCAGAGAAAATCTCAAGCTGACTCCCCACACTGGGCTCGATCCCATGATCCATGAGGTCATTACCTGAGCTGATACCAAGAGTTGGTCCCTCAACTGACTGTGAGCCATCCACGTACCCCTTAACAAGTATTTTTTGAGAGCCAAAGTATTCACTGGCCTGTCTTTAAAAACAACAACTACAAAAATTCTCTTTGTAGAAACATGCATATATTTTCTTTTTAAAGATTTTGTTTACTTACTTGAGATAGCACTAGTGGAGAGGAGGGTCAGAGGGAGAGGGAGAAGCAGACTCCCCGCTGAGCAGAGAGCCTGATGTGGGACTTGATCCCAGGACCATGAGATCATGACCTGAGCCAAAGGCAGACACTTAACTGACTGAGCCACCCGGGTGCCCCACCTTAACTGATTTTCATATATTTTAAATAGTTTATCTTTAATCTTGAGAAAGTTTCAGAGGAAGTTTAAACTTCTAGATTTATATCCTATCCAGCCCTTCTTCAACATTTAGGGATTAATCTTGGTTAAAGTACAGAGGACATTGGTAACAAAAATTAACTATGACAGGCTATTATGTTCTATTTATAAGTTTCCTATAAGATTATGTACACTGAAGTTGTTCTGTTCCTTTGTAGCGTTTTTGTGGTTTAACATATTTTATTTTTTTTTCCTAGGGGCACACAGGTGGCTCAGTCGATTAAGCTCTTTTGGCTTAACGTCTTGACCCCAGGGTCCTGGGATTGAGTCCCGCCTCAGGCTCCTTGCTCAGCAGGGAGCCTGCTTCTCCCTCTGCCTGCTGCTCTCCCTGTGTGTGCTCTCTGACAAATAAATAAATAAAATCTTTAAAAAAATTATTTATTTTTTTCCCAGATTAAAAAACGTATGTAGTGGGCGCCTGGGTGGCTCAGTGGGTTAAAGCCTCTGTCTTCGGCTCAGGTCATGATCCCAGGGTCCTGGGATTGAGTCCCATATCGGGTTCTCTGCTTAGCAGGGAGCCTGCTTCCTCCCCCCTCTCTCTCTGCCTGCCTCTCTGCCTACTTGTGATCTCCATCTGCCAGATAAATAAATAAAATCTTTAAAAAAAAAAAAAAACCCACGTATGTAGTTATGTTAGCTAACAAAAAAAGGAATTTAAATTTTAGAATCAAGTTAATTTCAAAAAAGAGCTAATTTTGTTTTACTGAAAGAATATTTGAAATGGGATATCAAAAATTGTTTTTTGAAGTTCCATTATTTCTTTCAAGTTTGCTCAGCCAGAACACTTTTTTCCTTTTTCTTGTTTTGTTTTCTTTTGTTTTTTTAGAGAATCAACTCAATTGTCGATTCTT